TTTGGTCATCTGCAGAGTGTGTTAAATCACCAGTAGGATGTTTTCCAATTATTTTACAGAAATTGTACAGATTTTAAGTTAAGATGTTTAAATGCCATAAATCAATCATACCAGCACCATTTGTGCCACTGTAGTAAAGATTACATCAGTGTTTCCATTATAAAAAGCCTATTTTTCAGGGGTTTCTAATTCAGCCATAAAAATTGGCTCCAGCCTAAAGCTTGGCAACCAAAGTCACCACTTGGGAGCAATTCTTTTAACCAATTTTTTTTTAAAATGGATTGGCCTTTCAAGCTACAAAACAGTTTAGAAAAAGAAAATTAGTGGTTTCAAATTTTGGTGAACTTCTATCCCTCAAAAACATTGTTTTAAAAACTGATAATTTTGTATGTTATAAATCTGTAACATGGACTGCTGCTTTTAGGTAATTTGGATATAAGCAGTGGATAAAAATCACCAGCTTATTTTGTTTAAAAATAAATGTAATTTCCCATGAAAACTTTTAATCCAATAAAATTTTCACAAATTACTTTCTTATGGCAAGATGTGGTAGACATCGCATGAAGAAGCTTTTATGACTCATTTATGCAGCATCTATTCCATTCATTTTGATTTCTGTGGTAAGAAGTACATAATACTATATTTTGATGCCTTGAAGAAGATGCTGGGCAGATTTGATTCAAGACAACAATTCTGTCCTTTGGTAGCACAGATCCACCTGTGAGCTTGACATGGTCCCTGACAAAGTTCTGTGTAAGCACAGAAAAAGAAGAAAGAAATACTTTGAAAGCAGCAAAGCAACAGAACTCCTTTAAAATGTATTTTGTTTAAAAATGTAGGTATTAAATACTGATTCTAACCCACTTCTAATAGTCTCAATTTTTCTCATGCATATTAATTTAAATTATAAGAATTATCAATTAGGTTTTAAACCTAGTTTAGTTCTAAAATGTTAAAAATTCCTTTGGATGTTGGTTGATTTCAGTAGGTCATCTCAAATCAACAACATGAACATGATTTGATCTTCAGGCTCTCAGAAGCTTTGTCATGAACATAGGCTCAGCAAAAGGGAATTACAAGCCCAGTCCCATCCGCTGCCTATCAAAGTCAGCAAAACTTGTCAACAGCCCCAATAAGCTTTGGACTGAATTCTCCGCGCAGTCTGAATTCCGAGTAGAATTTTTTTGTAATTCATATTTAGGCAGCAAATTGGTTTGGAAAGCTGTTTCCATAAGTTCTGAGAAGCTTAACAGCTCATACACTTTTTTTTGAAAAGTAACTTTAAATATATAATCATTGCTAAATTATAGCATTAGTTGCTTGAGGGGACGATGTCTGGTTTATATTTAGCCCTTATGTCATCGGTGTCAATTTTTAATACTGCACTTCTTGGCTTTTGTCCGTTTGCTGCAAAGCTGTATTTTCTTTTCTTCAAACAGCTACTTGCAATGAAAAAACATTAGAGATATTTGTCCCCTTCCCAACACTGTTTTGTGATACCAAGTGAGCGCATGTTAATCCAATCTAAACTATAAAAGTTACCACCTTCATATTTCATGAGCTTTCAAGGAAACTATCTTTTGATTGCAAGAAAAAAGAAAAATACTGTTGAACATAGAGTACATTCACAGAAAGCACTTTGAGACCTTCCCCCCCATCAAACTATGTGTACAGATACTCATAAATGTAAGAAGACAACAGAGAAAAAGCCCAAAGAAAACAGAAAAGACTGATTCAGTTAGAGACAGATGTTACACTTATTTGTTTTGGTGTTCCATTAGCAGATGTTGTGTTTTTATATTTGTTTTGATATCAACTGATATTCTTTTGCATGAAACACGTTTATGGTACAATACCTACAACACGCACGTGGATCTACCTCACCTGAAAATTCAGTCTAGGAAGGCAAAGTGTTTGGTGAGAAACAGAGAACAGACAAGGTCACAGCTGGAAACTTATTTTAAAGTGATTGCATTAGACAAAGAGAAATGACATGATAGGTAGCACTGGTCTGTAGCCATGCCATACTTCTGCAATAGCTTTGCAGCTCTCAAAGGTTGACGAGTTTGACCCTGAGCACATTTTAAGAATCAGCAAGGCACCTTCTAAGCAGTGTTGGCTGTGCAATGGGTGGCAGCCTCCTCTTCGAATCATGCATAAGCCTGTGACTCAAACCACTATCTTTTCATTTGAGATGTAAAACCTATGCTCATTAATTGTTGGTTTTTTTTTTTTTTTTAAATAGTGCTAATCCTGGGTTCCCAGCCAAATTCCAAATAACAGTTATATGATTTGTGATACCTACTAAAATTGACTCCAGAATTTTAACTGTATATGAATATCTGAACTACCCTACGCAGTAATAATCCCACTGACCACTTGAGATAGAAAAGTAATCTGTGCTGCTCTGGAAACAAAGTCACAACTCTTCATTTTCTGACCAGCCTTTGTGATGGTATTGTATGTAGATAAATTCCTGTAGTATTCCACCATCAACTGGCTGCACTCCTTTGCTCCCTGAAGCAATCTTTCCACATCAGCCTCTAAGCAAAGCTGGTAACACTGTGAACACTTTTTTACTGATTATTTTGTTAGTGTACTAGGGCTGGAAAGCTAAATGGCCTATTAACCCAATCCTGACTACTTCATATTTTAAGCTGAAATACTATATTGAAAATCAACATTAATTTTGAATACTCTTTTTTTTTTTACATTGACTCACTCTGAGCAATCTCCAGTAGGGGTGACCAAGCTTCCTCACCCTACAAGCCATCTACCAAACGTAAGATCATTAAGATCAGGACTGTCCTGGTTTCGGCTGGAATAGAGTTAATTCTCTTCCTAGTAGCAGGCACAGTGCTGTGTTTTGGATTTAGTAGGAGAAGAATGCTGATAACACACTGATGTTTTTAGTTGTTGCTAAGTACTGCTTATGCTAGTCAAGGACTTTTCAGCTTCCCATGCTCTGCCAGGTACACAAGAAACTGGGAGGGGGCACAGCCAGAACAGTTGATCCAAACTGAGCAAAGGGCTATTCCATACCATATGATGTCATGCTCAGTATAGAAACTGGGGGGGGTTGGCCGGGGAGCAGCGATTGCTGCTCGGGAACTGGTTGGGTATCAGTCGGCGGGTGGTGAGCAATTGCATTGTGCATCACTTGCTTTGTATATCATTATTATTATTATCATTATTATACGTTAGTATTAGCATTACTATTTTACTTTATTTCAATTATTAAACTGTTCTTATCTCAACCCAGGAGTGTATCTCACTCTTACTCCTCCGATTCTCTCCCCCATCCCATCGCGCTAGGGGGAGTGAGCGAGCGGCTGCGTGGTGCTTAGTTGCTGGCTGGGGCTAAACCACAACAAGGACCTTGCCTGATTTTTTTCCACAGCTATGCATAGCGCAGAGAAGTAGTAACAAATGCTGATGCATAAGAAAAAAAGGGAAATGGTTGTGGAAAAGGAGAAACCAATTACCTACATGCTGCACAAAGAGCATGGACTCTAGCTGGGAATTGCATGGTGACCCTAGAATCAGGTACAAAGAATGAACTGTGGCAGGGAGAAGGTGGAAACAAAAGTGCAGTGCATGCCCAGCAGAAGGAAAGCACGCAGACCTATGCATAGGAAGTTGTATATGCAATTATCTCCACTGCAGAGAGAACAGAGCACACACTGTAGGGAAGGTACCCTAAAAATGCAAGGTCCTGTAAGACTTTTCTAGACAAGAAACTCAAGCTTCATGAATTCAGAAATTCAGCGTATCTCTCTAAGGCTTAAAGATGGTTTTGTTTATAAAACAGGAAGCACAACTGTTTCTCCAGGAATAACATTCTCAGCAGAGATCATAAGAATCCTCAAGCATCTAGCTACTGCTGAAATTAGCTCTAGCACGTTTTAAGAAAAGAACCTGTTCACCACAAATCACTTAAAAAAATAAATATGTGCTGTTTTATATAGGAGATAATGTTTTCTCAAGAGGACAAGCAGAGTCCAATTACAACCAGGGCTGATGATAGAAAAGATCACAGCTTATAGCAGCATTTACCAGCTGCAGTGTCCCCTAACCAGAGGCACACACGGATTCCTAATTACTTTTTTCTGACCTACACAAAAACATTGTCTTTGTTTAGCCGAAGGTCACTTAGTAAAACCACCATGGCGTGCATATATTTGGGAACTTAATATATACTTCTTAATTAGATCCTGCATTATCAGAATTTAATTTCAAAGGCTCACAATAATGACACATGCTCACATGTGTCCATTCACTTGTGTGCACACTCAAACACACAAACAAACAAATTCTGGTGGTCAAAATTCACCAAGTGGAAAGTTTGTTTGACACATGCTGAACATAAGCAACAACGTAAAAGCGTATCTTAATGATGCAGAGGTATTAAACTACCACTGAACAAAAATTTGCATAGTATTTCAATTAGATTATTTTTAAGAACAAATAAAATTATGTTTTTGTTATAGCCTTTTACATAATATATTGGCGCAAGGTAGAAGAAAAAAAAATCAGTTTTTTTAGACATTTTTAGAACAAATGATTTGTCTCCGCACTTTGTGAACTGAAAGTCCAAACTGAAAGTGATGTGTGGCATAAAAAGAGTTGGCAAACAGAAGGAACTTGAGAAAAGTGGCCTCAGTGAGGCGCTAAGTGGTGATATGAAGAAGACAGGGTCATGGGAGGGAAGTCTGGCGAAGTTCTGAAAATTCACTGATTTCCTTACTGAAAAACAATGTAAAAACAAAAAACCCAAACAATAAAACTAAAAACTTGCATGCACATAAGAGGCAAAACACACCAACTGAAACCATTCACTTGTAAAGAACTTCTGAGGCATACCTTTTTCTTGAAGAAAGCATCAAATTAATATAAGTATTCCTGTCCCAAAAGGCTGAGCAGGCTGTTGTCAGAAACATTAGTACTTTCATTTTAAAAATTGACAGCATCAATGGTTCAAAAGCTTTCTCACTGCTTACCTCATTGCAATGTTGTAAGACTCTGGATGAATACAAGTTTGGTCCAAAGGATTGGGCTGTTGTGAGGCACATGGTGTTGGTTTGCTCTTCTTTTTACCTTGTGCACCTGCTTTAGTCAAAAGTGCATGACTTCCAAGTCCCGTTTTGTTACTACTGTCAGAAATCAAAAATGGACACGTCATTCTTAATAAACAAGATCCTAGCCCAGTGCCCACATGTGAAAAATGCAATCAGACTTTTATATAAACGTTCATTCTTTAAAAAAAGTACAAAACCCCTAAAAGGTCATTGTGTATCTTAACAATACAATTATAGCATAAAAATATAACATATGAATGTATGCATAAATGAATTTAAAATAGAAACAAACATTGGGAAGGGATTTTGTGCTTCATCAAAATTTCTTCACGATGACAAGATCATAAAGAAAACACTACACAACCTACTGTACCGTTTGCAATCTGGATAGCATCTTCTGTCTCTAAGATGGGGACAATTGCATTTATCTACTTGATAAAGATCTTGTGAGGATACTTTCAGACTTACCTATTGATTAATAGTCTGCATCATTTTAAATTTGAAAAATTTATAAAGAAAATGTCCTATTCATACCATCTTTAGGTAAGCAAATTGCATCTCAAGCATATGTACAGAACAAGGAAAGTATGTGAATGCTTAAACTTCAGAACTTTTTAAACCACATTTATTGACTTCCTATACTTAGATTTCTGAAAAATTCTTCTTAAACACAGGCCAGGTCAAATTATGAAAAATTTCACATCAAAGGAACTCAGACCAAGATTTGCTTAGAACAGAAAAAAGCTAAAGGTCAAATCTACCGTTATTTCAGAATTTATAAGCCATTTTTGGAAAAGTATCTTAATACACCTTTCCTTAAAACTTAGTGAATACATTACTGACTCCTAATCAGTTAGCTTCAGTTAGCATTTGGATTGGGCTTTTTTTTTTTTTTTCCTTCCAATTGGCTGGATAATGAAAAGGCTCCAAAGTCCCAAAATCTCAGAGAGATCCATGGACCGATTGCCCACATTGGTAGGAAGGCTTTACAGAAGACAGGAGAGAGAGATCTATCTTCATGTGTGTAGCATATTTACAACTGGCACACTTCTTCCATTAAAGTTTCCCTTAAGTCAAAAAATGCTCAGGATACAGTAAAGGCATCAAATGACTCCTCTGGCAAAGGCTCCTTTCTTGCTGTCCTGGTTTCGGCTGGGATAGAGTTAATTTTCTTCCTAGTAGCAGGCATAGTGCTGTGTTTTGGATTTAGTAGGAGAAGAATGCTGATAACACACTGATGTTTCAGTTGTTGCTAAGTACTGCTTATGCTAGTCAAGGACTTTTCAGCTTCCCATGCTCTGCCAGGTGTGCAAGAAACTGGGAGGGGGCACAGCCAGAATAGTTGATCCAAACTGAGCAAAGGGCTATTCCATACCATATGACATCATGCTCAGTATAGAAACTGGGGGGGGTTGGCTGGGGAGCAGCGATCGCTGCTCGGGAACTGGTTGGGTATCGGTCAGTGGGTGGTGAGCGATTGAATTGTGCATCACTTGCTTTGTATATTATTATTATTA